CAACTAGCTTCTGTCCCATTGACTACATTCAAAGCAGACCCAAGCAACTTCTCCTCAAAACATAAAGTACAGAGAGAGGAACAAACTGCCTGCACCAACCTGTAGTACTCCTGAGCCCCCTCGGAGTCACAGAAATGGCAGAAGTAGTGATCCCTCCGGAGGTGCTTCAGCAGCTCGTCGTTGTCCAGGTACCTCTCGTCACAGAACTTGCAGAGGGGGTGCCCACGGTGGGAGGTGTCATCGGGGTCCCCGTGGATGCGGTGGCGGGCGAGGTCCTTCCGAGTGTACCACTTCCTTTCATAAGTGAAAATCTGCAGGGAAATGGAAATCCATGGGGTTTTTTTTTGTGAGCAGAGAACAAAAAGGAATAGGTTTCGTTTTTCCCAGGTTGTGTGCGACTTCCGTCCTCTGTGAGAGGGGAAGATCTGCTCCAGAAAGGTGCAACCTGACAGCCAACACCCATCATCTGCAGTGGGCAGGAAACAAAATTCAAGTGCTTGATCCAGATTCAAAGGAACTGGCATTTCACTCAGTTTGAACACTGGAAAAGTCAGCCAGAAGTGAGTTGTTTTACCCTCCTCAGACAGTTGTTTTACCTGTCCCAGAACAGCCCCACACAGAGGGTACAGTTCAGGGAACACATTTTGGGCTGTAAGCCAATCTTCTTTCCCTCCTGACAGGCAAGCTACAGTGATAAGAAGGGTTCTGAAGATGCCAAGATCAGTGCAGCCTTGAGAACAAAATATCCCTTATTTCTCACCCAGGCAAGGACTGTCAGCTTGTTCTGGGAAAATGTCCACTTGGCTTGGCTAGGTTTGACAGATTGAAGCTTCAGTGAGTTTAAGAACTTCTCTTCCATGGACACTAAGAATATGGAACAGGGCAGCTGGCATAAACCAACTGTGGCACCACAGGATAAATGCACTTCTCCAGTTTGGTATTTAATTGGTTTAAGAGAAAACACACACACACAAACCCATGTGTAACAAGATCTAAAAAGATGCATCTGTGCATTGAAATCCCTCCTACCAGCCTAAGGAATGCTGACAGCTCTGGACCATGGAGGTTCAGAGCCCTACAACTCACTGAGCAGCAGCAGCTGAGTTTGGCTGCTGTGTAACTGAGAAATCCCAAAGCCACTGTGGAGTTCTGGCTTTCAGACTGTGAGAACACCACCTCAGTGACACACCCCCAGAGAGAAACTTCTGTGGGATTTAACAAAACAAAAAGGGCAACGGTGGTGATGGTAAGATGAGTGGTTTTAAGGCTCATCACTTTGTCAGACACAGAGAATTCAGCTTTCCAGTAGCTTTTATCTTTGGCAGGTTGCACAGCACATTTTAAACCAGCTCCTGGTCACATCCTATGTGTGTGCATCAAACACAGTGGAGCAGAAGTGCAGGTGACAGTGAGCTTCATTCCCCAGTAAAGTCACCAAGATACAGAAAATTTGCTTGAACAAAGAAAGAAGATAATAGAATAGAATTATACCCAATTAAAGCAGCAAGACAGACTCTCACCCTGCACATGAGCCAACTGTAAAGGCCACACTGACTCTGAGAAGTAAATCCATCACTCCAAGGAGCATTCTGCTTTCTGAACTGGCACCAAGTGTTTCCTTAAGTTACAGTTTTAGCTCATAAAGTCATTTAAGTTTGAACAGACTCTCTGCTGTTACAGCTGGAACAATGCCTGCCTGTGACTTGGGATTAACCTGCTATCAGACACGTTGGGTTTGGTATCTACACGTGTTGGGGCAGAGAAGCTAACATCAGAAAGTTATTCACATGCTTGGGTTTAGTTTAAAACACAACCCACAGAGAACATCCAGGCCTTCTTCATTGACCAGTTTATGGAAGAAGAAAGACTTAAACCAAGGCCACTGGCTTCACTGAAGGCCAAAATTTTTGTAAAAGAAAATAAATGGGTGCTGCTCAGTCACCCCCCAATCCCCACCTGCCCAAAGACTCTCACAGCTCAGAGGAGGAAGCACCCCAAGCTCCCACACATTAAACCATGGAACTCACTCACCTGTAGGTGTTTAACACAGAGTTTGCAACAGAAGAGTTCATGCTGCTTCCTCATGTGCTGTTCCAGATCTGCAAAGGTGTTGAACGGCTTCAGGTCTGGACACAAAGAGCATTCATGCTGCAGCAGCTTCCTAAGGGCCAAGAAAGATTGCCTAAAAGTTATCCAGTGCCCTCTCAGCAGCCTGATACCTCCCTCAAACCCAAACATTCCACGGGGGGGGCTGAAGGCCTCAGTTCTGCCTTTTTAATGAGGTGTTAATTAGTGTCCTGCTCCTTCCATGAGCACGCTGAACAGAACAGAACCAACTGAGAGGCTGCCCTGGTCAGAGAGGAGCTGAGCACTCACAGTGTAAGAAACCTGCTGCTCTGTAAGATTTTGAGTGGGCTGTAACAGGTCCTTGCTCGTGGAAGATTCAGCAGGTGTATGCAACATGCACACCCTGTTTATCATAGCATGGTTGGAGTTGGAAGGGACCTCTCAGGTCACCTTGTTCCAACCCCCCACCATGAGCAGGGACACCTCCCACCAGAGCAGGCTGCTCAGAGCCCCATCCAGCCTGGTCCTGAACTCTTCCAGGGATGGAGCATCCACAGCTTCTCTGGGTAACCTGTGCCAGTGTCTCACCACCCTCACAGTCAAGAGCTTCCTAATTCCTAACCTAAATCTCCCTCTTCTGTTTTAAAGCCATTACCCCTATCCTATCACTACAAGCCCTCCCCAGCTGTCTTGTAGGCCCCCTTCAGACACTGAAAGGCTGCAGGAAGGTGTCCCCAGAGCCTTCTCTTCCCCAGACTGAACAGCCCCAACTCTTTCAGCCTTTTTTCACAGGAGAGCTGCTCCAGCCCCCTGATCATCTTCATGGCCCTCCTCTGGACCTGCTCCAACAAGTTCATGTCTCTCTTGTGCTGGGGGCTGAGAGCTGGACACAGAACTCCAGGTGTGGTCTCACCAGAGCAGAGCAGAGGGGATGAATCACCTCCCTCCATTAATTTATGTTAATTACACTTTCTACTGCCAGAAAGTGAAGAATACAGTGGGGAGAGATAAAGATTTGCAAGAGAAGGAGGGGGGTGGGGGAACCACACCCACCCACCAACGATTCCCAAGAGGAGCTGAAGACAGAGCCCTGGGCTCAGCAGGAGACCCCACGACTCCCTACACTCAGTTGTTGCCCGTGGAACTGTAGCCTCAGGGACTGCCCAGAAATCACCTCACCAAAAGCAACTCCCAGAGCTGGTTGTGAGCTCGCTTCTGACTGACTCTGCCCACCAAACCCACGGCCCAGCTCCACAGATATGAAGCCATGCAAAACTGCCTGAGAAAAGCTGCACTCTGAGCCCAAACCAGCTTGGACAGAACACACCACTCTCCAAGAAGGCACCACTGCCTGCATGGCTTCATCTTCTGTCACTCCTTTTAACTGCTTTTAATTATCTTACAGCTTCCCAATTCAGCACGTTATGAAAAATGCTTTCAGAACACGATGCTGATGCCACAGCTTTCACTCTGTGTTAGTTTTTCTCCTGCACTGTTTGTGCAGCTCACCCCTCCTCTCCCCATTTAGCATGAAGCCCTTTGTAGGCAGACGAGGCTGCTCGTCTCGTCGTACAACGTCGGGAGCCGTCGGTCTCGATCAGTCCTTACGTGGCACAGCAAGAAATACAACTACAACAGTCATTCAGCCTTTGCCAGCTTCCACAGCAGCCAGGCAAGGAAGAAAAAGCCTCGCAGGCAGTTTGCTGCTGCTAAAGAAGCAGAAAGCAACTGTTATTGCTCTGTGCTACGCACCAGCGAGTGCGACAGCCCGGCCTGGGGGAGCTGCTCCCTTTGGCCACGGCCCTGCTCCAGCCCCTCAGCCCACCACAGCCCCCCCCAGCACATCCCCAGAGCACACACACCCCCCATGTGCTATCAGAGCACCTAACACAGGCAGGAACAGGCTGCCTGAGGGGCAGAGCACGGGAAGGGCTCCACTGCTCACCTGTACAGCGCGTACACCTCGCCGTCCGTAAAATAAATGTCGTATTTCTTCTCATGCTGCAGCTGGCTGAGGGCTACTGCTGAGAAGGACGTCAGCCTCCGTCCAAAGACAACCTGCAGGCAACACAAGAATTGCCCAGAGCCCCTTCAGGCTGGACGCTGAGCCTTTGGAGCTGCTGTGGCCTGAAGCTCGGCCCATGTTCCACGTGCTCTGTGCCAGCCCCAGCTGCTCGCCACCACCCCCAGGGCCAGCAGCAAAGCCACGCCACTGCTCCTTATCAGCTGCCAGCTCAGGCCCAGGGGGCTCGGGCTGAGCTGCTCTTTGGATTTTGAACGAGGTGAGGAAACTCTTCCACGGTGTGTTTTGCTGCCACAGCTGTGCTGAGAGTGAACGCCCGCAATAAACTCAACCTCTTCCGCAGCCACGGCCCGTCAGCAGCCCTGCACCCCGCTCCCTCCAGCTCCTGGGAGGGGATCCCACAGAAACCTGCGTCCCTCAGGGAGGGGTGACGTTGTGACATTACTCAGGCTGCCTGGGAAACCTGTTCCTTCCTTCCTGGACTGCCAGGGAAGCGAGGAAGGGAACACGGAGTCGCTGCCCGGGTTATTCCCCTCGTGAGGGAACCTGCTGGGTGCCAGCTGCTCACACCGACCCCCAGGCAGCCTGGGTCCCACACAGGAGCTGTTTGTGGTGTTAGATCCTTCTTCAGAAGCCTCCTGCCACTCATCTGCTCCAGCACAAGCTCCCAGTTTGGGGAGTGTCGAGGCAGCAGCCCCGTGTGTGGAACAGCCAGAGGGACTGCAGCAGCTCAGGAGGGCTGAGACACAAACACAGTCACACCTCTCAGCTCAGGCTGTGAGCACTGTCAATCTAGAAACACTCACAGCCAGAATAAAAGCAGTCAATTTTATCATCTGCACGAAGTTTAGTCAGATTAAATCACTCCTCTGCCCATGCTGGGGTGAAACACCACAGAATAAGCCTTTTCTGTCCAGTTTTGTGGGGTTTTTTTAAGCTTTCTTTATGCTGGGGCTACTGTTAATGGAAACAAAAAGCACATCCAACTTGTTGAAGTATCCAGCTTCAAATAAAGGGAACACAAGTTTAAATTTGTTGGATAAATGACAACTCTGTGTAACTCCAATTAGTTAGGAAATTTAGCTGAGCTCAGGTTTCACTGACATTCCATTTCAGCCCAGAGAGAGTTCTAGGAGAGCAGAACAGATCCCCAAAGAGCAGCTTTTATCCTGGGAGCCCAACACCACTTCACTTCCTCGAGGAGTCCCACAAAGAACCACACAAATCCCAACAGCAGGGCTGCCAACAGCCCCTCCACGAGTTCACAGCTCCACACAGAGTCCTCCCACCCGAGGTCTCGTCCCAGCTCTGCCAGTTCCACACTCTGCACATGAACAGACCCGGCTGCAGGTCCCACCTACACGTTCTGTTCACTCACAGCAGCAGTTTTGGTGTGATTTATGCCCCCCTAGATCTTTTTGTCTTTCCTCGGGGCAGATGGATGGACAGACAGAAGGGTATGAGGGTGGCACTTAAAGACAAGGGGGGAAAAAACAGGACAAACATTAAAAATCACCTCTTAGGCAATTATAATAAAAGGATCGTTTTAAACAGGTAATAAAGGGGGAGAAAGACAGCTGGAAGAACCAAAATTCTGTCCACATAATACAGCAACATCACAGAACTGAGCAGCTCTCCTGATTTAAGCCCACCCGTGGCCCTCTGACAAGCAGGTTTAAGGATGACAAACAGCCTCACAACTGATTTCCTCCTAAAACAGGAGGAGCTGAGCAGCAGCTCCTCAGAGGATGCTCAGAAGGGACGTTACTTTCAGTTTCTTTCTGTACCCAGAGGCCCCTCGGGTGACAGAACACTCTGTCTAAAATCCACATGGACATTTCTGGCTGCCCCAAAGTCTGAGGAGCTTCAGCCTGCAGCCAAAGCTCTTCAGTCCCTCCAACCATCTGAACAACGTGAAAAGCTGCCAAAGCAAACTGGTCAGCTAGGGGTGGGGAAGGAGAGGAGATGAGAAGAGTAGCATGGTCAGACTTGGTGACCTTAAAGGTCTTTTTCAACCTAAATGATTCTATGACTGTCCTGTTCCACTTCCTAAACCACCTCGGTGTATTCCACTCCGTGCTAGCACCAACTCTTTTCCTCTTAAAAGCTTCGCTTCTCTCCACGTTGGTTCTGCACAAATGAAGGGAGGGATGAGGATCCGTGTCCAGAACCACGCTGGAACAACTCTTCCCCTGCTCAG